CCAACATTTTTTCTTATTTAATCTTGAAAGAGCAATGCAAGTTATTATCCCTAAATATGATCATATTTCTGTAAGACACCACTAATATTGCATTTATTATTTATTGAATATAAGCTTATTGTTGTGTCAAGGCTAATATATTAATGAGGATTTACCTCTACAAATAACTAAAAATGATGTATATTAATTTAGAGTTTAATAAAATATGAAAGGAATTAATATTTAACATCACTTTAATCATATTTACATTTAATCTGGAATGGCAAATGTTTTTATAAAGACATCTTCTACCTAATTGTTCATTATTTGCCTATTAGCTCTAATACTTTCGAAAATTAGAAAAAGTTAAATAGAAAACACCTATCTGGATGTCATCACCTTTAATTATTAGAACTTAATAACATTCAAGGCATGCATTTTGTTTTGAGATTATCGTAAGGTTAAAACTTAATAGTGTAGGAGGCAGAGAAATAATACAACGTGCCGCTGGATGCGGCTTAACCAAGTTCAATCCCTGGCACTCTTTAGCGCCCACTGAATACCATCGGGAGTGATCCCTGTGTGCAAAGCATAGCTGGATGCACACTCCAAATCTCAAAAATGTTTGATAGTACGATTAAAACTGCAATGGAGTGATTTCAGCTGTGATTAGTTCCTGCCTTATATGTAAATTATTTATATATTAAATCATTTTATGAGTTTAATATAAACAAAGCAAACAAATACCATTGAAAAAATTGCACATTAATTTGGTTGTATAAAGTGTATGTGTTGGATTGAGTAGCATAGATAATTAAAAAATTCTTATTAATTATAGCACAGCGGTAGGGCGTTTACCTTACAAGCGGCCAACATGGCCAACCCGAGTTCGATTCCTCCGTCCCTCTCGGAGAGCCTGGCAAGCTACCGAGAGTATTTGATATGCCAAACACAGTAACAACAAAGTCTCCAATGGAGACGTTACTGGGCCCGCTTGAGCAAATCGACGATCAACGGGAGGGCCTTTACCTTTACCTTTACCTTTATTAATTATATAATTCAAATTAATTATATTAATTATCTAATTCAAAGATAGATTATGATTTAACGTATTTTTAATAGGAATGTCACGAAGTTTGGTATGCCGACATTTTGAGAAAGTAGTGTTCTGGGGCTGGAGCGATAGCACAGCGGTAGGGCATTTGCCTTGCACGCAGCCAACACGGCCGACCCGAGTTTGATTCCTCCGCCCCTCTCGGAGAGCCTGGCAAGCTACCGAGAGTATCTCCCCGCACGGCAGAGCCTGGCAAGCTCCCCGTGACGTGTTCGATATGCCAAACACAGTAACAACAAAGTCTCCAATGGAGACATTACTGGGCCCTCTCGAGCAAATCGATGATCAACGGGAGGGCCTTTAAAAAAAAAATGAGTATTCTAGTAGGAGAAATTACAATCGGAAAGACCGAAACCAGGTTTTTCATAGGGAAAAAATATTAAAAAAATCTATGTGGATAGGATATGAGTATGGGAAAGATTGTAGATAGGATAAATGATTATGGGAAACAGAGTTAGGTGATGAGACAGCCTCCCAACAATCCTCTGAACTTCCTGAAGCCCTGACAGCCACACCCATATCTCACAGCTCTCTGTCTGAAAACTCAGGATCAATTCTAAAGATCCTGCAATTTCTGCACCACCTGAAGTCATGCATGCATTTATTCAACACCTTCAAATTCCACAGTACAGACATCCCAGTAGGAGCACGCCAAATTAGATGGGAAAGTAACAAAAAAGCTAAGTTTAATAAACAAAAACTAGTAGAAGGTTCAGTGAGCTATAAACATCCTTGTAAACCTTCGAACAATGACTCCACTACCCCATGTTGAGATATAAGAATTTTCACATTTTTTACTGCAGTATTTTCTTTAGAATACCATTAGCCATTTAATTATAATAAACAATTTGAGATAAATCATCTGTGCCTTTTAAGGGGAACGCTTAGGGGGTAGTGGGAGAGAAACTGGAGACAATCATGAAGGGACTGACACAGTGGTGGTGGGTTGTTGTTGGAACAGAGAATGCCCATAACAATTATACGAACAACTTTGTAAGGCACAGTGCTTAAATAGAATATTAAAAAATTCACTATAAAATGATTTTATGGGGCTGGAGCAATAGCACAGCAGGTGGGGCATTTGCCTTGCACATAGCCAGCCCGGGTTTGATTCCCAGCATCCCGTATGGTCACCTGAGCACTGTCAGGAGTGATTCCTGAATGCAAAGCCAGGAGTAACCACTGAGCATTGCCAGGTGTGACCCAAAAAGCAAAAAAAAAAAAAAACAAAAAAGATTTTATGTCATGTATCATGTGTAATATGTAACTTATATATATTTATCAGATCTTATCTTTATTCAGATATTAAGCATACCCTTAACTTACTTGAACTAAGTGTCTCAGAGTCAAAAATAATACCTTACAGAGGGTGTCTGAAAGATGATAAAGTTCTAAGTGCATTTTTAAAAACAATTAAACTTTACATAGATACAATTAAACAGAAAGTAGAAAGATTTCGAGAGACAACGCTACTCTATGTAATTTTACTCTCAGAATATATTGCATAACACATTTTGATTTACTTTGTCTTTTATCAAAATTATTGTTCTCTCACCAAATTCAAGTTCATCATTGATTTCTTATTTCTCTCAGTTACATCATACATGAGATATACTGTGTTAATTTTTATGATTCATTTTTATCACTTTCCTTTTTGAAGTCTCTTCACATGCTATTTTCTTTTTAAATAAACATTCTCAGTTAAATTATAACATGTTAAGAACATAGTCTTTCAGTGCCTAATCAGAAAATAGACCTTTACCTTTAATTTTCCTTTGTACAATCTTAATTCCCTTAATAAAAGTAATGCATTTGAAAATTAGTTTTTACGGCATTTATTATTTTCAAAGTTATTTTCTCATTAACAATTTAATGAGATAAATTAGTTTCAATCCCTATCAATCTCTTTCCCAAACATAACCTATCAATCTTGCCTTATATGTGTCACCTTCATCAACATATAGGTCTATTTTTTCACGTTAACTGTGTCCAAAACACCGCTCATGTCCTTTTCTAGCTTTTACACATTTTCTCACTTTATGCACTTCACAGCTATCACTTCATTTCTTTTTTATCTTTTGCCTGATATAAAATACATTCTGATTCTGCAGCTTCTTTGTAGGGCAATTAACACAACATTTCATGCTATTTTCCTTAATTGTAAGTTTTTCTACTTAAATTGTTGATGAGATTGCTATTTGCAGTGCACTTTTATCAAGATAAATATAGGATAAAGCTGCTTCTCTGTATATTCACGCTAGTTCTATTTTACCTCTATTAGTGAGAAAATAAGAGTCTGCATAGACCATAATATAACACAACAACACCACCACACCTGCTTTATTAGGAACCACAAATACCAATATTTTAACCATTACAGTACTTTTAAAGAATGGCTCATTATGTGTGTATTTAAGAATGTGGGATATAGAAAGAAATGAAATATCTGTAAATTTTCTACCTACTACGAACTGTGGAGGAATAGCTCCAAGGCTTTCATTTTTCAGTGAGTTAAGTAGCCTTCTTCTAAGTGTCAAGATGTAGGTTTCCATTTGTAGGAGACTATGGGGTTTCCTTTTCATATCTGAGTCTCACAGGATACATAAATTACAAAGGATCACCACCATGTTTTAAACCATGCATAGGAAGGGATATAGTAAATTAGATTAATATAAAAATTTGATAACTTGTCTTTCCTTCACTTATCTCTGTATAATTGCCCTCTTCTACTTTATCTCCAAACTTTTCAACATAATACAAAGGACCAGAACATGTTCGAAGAATTAGCAATAAAATAATACCAAACTAGACATTGGTGTGTACATTAAAACAATAAACTCACAAGCATTAAAATGTAAGAGGTTTATTCTCCTTTTTCAAGCAATGTCTACAGACAAAGCATCCACATAGCGTAAACTACCAAAGAAGGATATATGTGATGGACTTACATTAAATCATTAGGTTACAGACACTTTACATGGTTCATGTTCACAAGGGAAAAAATCGCTAAAAAGAAAAGTGAATTCAATCAGAAGAAACATAAGCCAATTTGTGTTTGTTATTAAATCTATCTCCCATGATGTTTCTTTAAGCTAAGAAGAAATTTACTGTATCACACAGTTTAGGATACTATATATACATAAGATATTACACGCTATAAAATTTCATGTTTCTAAGCAGTTTTACACAATTTTAACTTGAATAAAATTTGTATTTAAAAAAGACCTTATTGGATTGCCTTCAGTAAATGGAGGTCATTTCACCAACCCACTAGCATTTTTTTTGCAACAATAAACAAAAAATAAGTGAAAAGATTCTCAAAACATCTAAGCTATTACTGGAAGCCTGGATAATTATCTGCTTAGTTCAGTAAACCAACTCTGGTGCTAATCCACAGCTCCTGCATTTTCTTTGCCCTTTTACAAATCAAAGAAACAATAATTTTCATTTCTATGCAATATCAATAAGAGGATTAGTTAGGTACAGAAATACAGTGCACAATCGTGATAGGGTCATTTAAGGATCACAAAGGACATAAATAGACATCATAAAGGGAAGTTATTGAGGAATGTGTTAAGGAATAACTTTCATTGGTGGTTATATTTAAGCAGTAAAGGCAGTGAAGAAGTCTGTCTTGACTCGCCACTGTGGATGTACTTTTTTATTTTCTGTTACAATTCTTGTAGTCCACTCATTCTCAACAGTTATTCTGCCAGTACTTTGTTTGTTTTTGTTACTTCCTGATGTTAATATTCTTTTATATGGTTTACTCTAAGCAGACAGGAATGCTTTCTCTTTTTGAAAAGTGAAAGTTCCTTCAAAGTAATTAACTATGTGAAGAAAAAACAAAATCTATTCCGATAACAATAAACAACTTTAAGCAGCTGACATTCCAGACGAACTTCCACTAAATGAAATGCAACAGTGATTAAAAAGAAATGAGTGGAGACTACACTGCAAGCCTTTTTAAATTTACCATAACCCTTTTTCCTCCCTTAGTCCCCATTTACCATAGTATGCTGCAGGTTACTATTATGTATAAGTAACTGTCAAATAGAGTTTGTCACCTGTATACAACCTAAGGCCAATGTATGCTTTCAAATGACATTTCAGTGAGGGTTAAATAAATGACTGAAGGCAGAATTTGGTGCAAGAGATGTTAAGCTATTCTCTTTAATAACAAGAAATTTATAGTTGTGAGGGTATTCATTATGCAGCTTTTAGCCTTCCAGTTTCTCTGTGACATTCCCTTCAAGGCACAAAAGATTATAAACAGTGAATGGGATAGAATATTTTGACTTAAGAATTTTAAGGTTCCACAAGACCTTTGATTTCTGATTTAAGCATACCCAAAAGGACAAAAAAAAGTAGGTAAATCACCCTCAAAATAAAGCAGTGCTTAAAGTCATCTGAAATTCCCTGCAGTTGAGATACATGTGAGTATTAAATTCTTATTTTACTGATAAAAAGCATCATTATAATTTTGATTCTTGCCATTGATATTGACCTATTAAATATTACAGTAAATATGTCTAATAAATATTACCAATTGTGTATATTTTTACCCCCAAAATTCTATATCTCCTTTGGGCTAACCAACTTTCGTTTGACTAGGATATAAACTTGAAAAGTTAGATTGTAAATTTAAACAATGAATTAAGTGCAATGTACTGGAAAACTCTTCATTCAATAATGATCTAACAGGGATCTTAAGCTTCACCAACCCAAATGACTGTATTTCCTTTCTCAACTTCAGTGATTTCACAGTTTAACTTATTGAGCCGTCCATCTAGTATAAAGAGAGAGTTCTTAGAAGCTGTCATCAGGTACTGCCCGAATAAGCCACTGTCTTGGATTTGCCTGTTCTTCCGGCTCCACGGCCATTCTTCTGCTCTCAGGGGCTCCTTGAGGCTCTTGATCATCTTCACCTTCCCCGAAGAGAGCTCTACAAAGAGCACATCAGTTTGTGTGCTTGAACTGCCATAGATGTTGTACTGGTGGGCTTCGGTAAAGGACGGCTGGAACGCCAGGTCAGATATGTGCAGATTTGTGTGGATATCAAACGCCTCCTGGATTTCTCCTCTGATAGTGATGTACTGGACCCTCACAAGACCTTTCACATCATTAATGCTGACAAGGTAATGTCCATCTGGAGAAACATACGGAGTGCCAGTCACATCACTGTTGAATCCAATGACTGAATCAGTTACACTATCTACCATGAGCTGTGGTGGAACGGCTCCAGTGCTGTCGGCTTTGCAGCCAATGAAGTAGTATCCACCCAAGTGTGTATACGCCAAAGACTGGGGGATGCACTTGTAGTCCTTCAAGTTAACTGTCTTGATGTAGGACATGGTTTCAAGATCGATTTTTTGCAGTGCAGCTTCATCTTTGTGAAGAATAAATCCAAATCTAAAAAGATAAGAAGCAGAATTAGCCGGGTTCCCAGGTCTGCTTGCATAAGGACATGTGGGAGGTCCAACACTGGCCCAAACATCAACTAGGATGTGCCATCACTATATCAAAGTTACAAGAGCAAATTTTAAATCAGGGTGTTCTTCTTTCTCTACCTTATTTCACTACAAAAATTATATTGCATGCTGTAGAAAACAAAATGATTAAAAGTAATATATCTAGTTAATTGAAACAACTAATTTTACTTTCACCATAGGGTATAAGCAGACACATTATTCTGTAAGGCTTTGAGCTTGTGCTATTGGATAAGCTTTTTTAACTTCGACTAAAGATGCAAGAATAGTTTAACTACATATATCTTTTGTACTCCACTTACTTTTATTGTCTTATGATCCATCAAATACATCTACCTTTCATAGCTGTTGCTAAGAGTGATAGATTTCTCATTTTAACTACCTATCAGAACTTTTAAAATAGATTATTCTTAAATACATAAATTTCAGTATAGGACTAATAGACTTCTTTTTGTTATGTTTAGTATTACTACCTATATGAGTTAGCATTTGTCATATACATTTTCAAGAGAAGTTACATTTTCAACTGTCACGCTTCTATTTTTATCACTTCATAATAGAACTCACTCTATTTTATTATACTGAACATGAGCTTTACATAGAAATATATCACTATATAAAATATAAAAATATTTATAAATTATTTTAAAGATATAACCTTTTAATGATGTAATTTTTTTATTCTATATGGCTGATAGTTAAGAACACACAGTATGTCGATCTATGCTTCTGTCTCCCATTATTTATAGAATTAAAAATTCTGATGGAAGATGTCTATTTTATATGTTGCACATGTGTTCATAGGCAAAGGCAGTAATGTGCTCATTTAATGAAAGTAATAAGCCAATCAAGTTTTGGCATTTCAGTTCTCCTCTTAACCTTGAGCTTTCTACCCCTTTGGGCAATCCTTTTCTGAATGCTAATGAGGAAAAATGAGACAAGTTCTATTCTTGCATTATTTTGAACGCTAAAAGTAAAGGATGCAGTGAAGGTTTCTGTGATATCATCCAACTACTTTCAGAGGTAATTACATTTTTTTAAACGGCCCTGATAAAAATGCAAAAGCTCCATGTGGGGTGATAAAATTGCACTAATTCAGCATCCACACTGTATGCTCCTACAGGACTAGAGATCTAGCTATATAAGCAGATGCATGAGAATGCCTGCAATTTTTCACCACTGATTTATTGGGTAGGAAGTAGTATCTCTAATTCAAAATTTCCCCCAGTGCAGATTGATATTCAGAAGTCTCCCACTGTTCATTAGTATCTGATTAATATTTACGAGGCTCTCAACTTTCATGCCTGCTTAGTATAATAAAATCCTGCACACTACTAGCCCAAATACAGTTTGTCTAATATTTGTCAGAATCTTTATAGGAAGTCGCAGACTGTGAGAAATAGGAACTTAAACACAATCACTTACAATCACTTATTTTACCAGGAAATTAAAGCAACTAGAAAGGGTGTCCTATCTGCATGTCATTATATGGGCTTGGATTTGTTGTTAGATTTGGTTCACCAGGATTTATGTAGAGTCAACTCCTTAGCCAACACTGTTTGAAATGAAGATGGCTCATTAGCCTTCTAGAAAGGTGTTGCTTCAGTTCTTCCTGAGGGCAAGGAGATCAGAAACTATACTGGGTGAACGCGATCTCTGCATTAATATTACTATTTGTAACAGACACCTCTCACACTTAAGAATTCTCACTTGAGGAGCTAGAGCAATAGTGCATTGAGTAGGGCTCTTGCCTTGCACAGAGAAGACTTGGGTTCAATGCCCAGTATTCCTATGATCCTGGAGCACTGCCAGGAGTGATCCGAATACAGAACTAGGAGAAAGCCAGGAGCAAACATTGAGCATAACAGGGTGTGACCCACAAACAAACAAACAAACAAACAAAAAACTATCAAACAAGGATTTTCCTCTTGAATACGAAAGGAAAACATAAAAACTTTGAGTAACTTTTAGATCTAGATTAGAAAAGGGAAAGCTGCAGTTAAAATTTAAAGTTTAAGTTTACTCCATGAAAATTCAAGAGTCTTGAAAAGCAAGCTCTTCTTCTTTTTTTTTTTTTTTAAAGCAAGCTATTTGGAAGAGGAGAAATAACATTTAGAGTGAAGCATGCTTGAAACAGTATGAATTCTAACCAAGAGTAAATGTACAAAGATTCCCATATCCCATAAAAGGATATGTGTCTCTTGTGTTTTCTGTAATGAATGATTTCCCACGCTTCTGATTTAAACAGTCCCCAAATGAGTCCAGTCACAAATAGCCTAAGAAAGCAGTTTTTCAGTAACTAGAACACCAAGTCTCATAACGTACGATTCCACTCCTGTTCTGCACTCAAATCTAAGGTATAACTAAAGGAATCTCATAGTTGCTGCTAATGATTTTAGTAATTTTTCATCCCTTATGCCAGGATAACAAATGTCTCAAAGTTTGGAGAAAGAACTCTGTAATATCTAATAGTACTATCTTCCAGGTTTTAATGTAATATCTCTTGTCCTCAGAGAACTCACTGATTCTGACTAAAATAGTTTTTACTGCTGCTTATTTTTTGGATTTTGGGTCACAGTTGTTTATGCATGCTCAGGGCTTACGCCTGGCTCTGTTTTAAGGGCTCACTCTTGACAGGCTTGGGGGACCACATGGGATGCTGGGGATGGAACCCAGTCAAGGCTGTGCAAGAGAAGCACCCTGCTAGCTGTTCTATCGCTCCTGCCCAATTGCTGCTAATTTTAAGTATTATTCACTAAGGACCAAACCCCTACTCAAGGCTATGAAGGGTGTGAGGTGACTCTTTCCATTTCTGCATGATCTCAGTCCTGAAGCTCTATCTGCACCTCTCCAGATTTTAAAATCAATCTTTCCATGCATATAAATGAATGTAAATGAGTAGTGAGTGTGAATGGGTATGTTTTAGCATTGGGTCAGCCAGACTCTCTATCCTGTTATAAAATAAACATTGTGCAATCTAGATAGAGAGGAAAACATTTCCCCAAATCATTTCCTGCATTACTCTAGAAACCATCTTAGAAATATTTGAAATAAAATTCCAGAAGAAAAATCATTTTGAGTGGCCCTCAAAATTCATTGCATTATGACTTTACTATGAAATTTGATGCAGAAGATATATAATCAAATAGTTAATATTTCATATGCAATAGTGGGCAGGATAAATTTCTTGAATCTGAAAAAATTAAGCATGTTTTTCATAATTTGTAAACATAGGCCAAATATAGTATAAGAAAAGTTATAACTTGTCCCCTTACAATGAACATTAATCATAGATATACATGCAATGCTTGTGCAATGATATCCTGCATTGTATTACAATAGCTATAGCTTTCATGAATGCAAACCATAAGTGACAGGAGTCATCTACTTATTTATGGGTTCTTTCAGATTTAGTTGCTATCTATTACTTCACTCTGATTCCTATAAGAAAAACTGAAGGCTGTAACTACTTATGTATGGGAGGATTGAGATTTTATCTTAACTTCAGATAAATAGCTCAGTAAAACTTACCTGTTCATAAAGTGGATACATCCATATTCAGGAGCAAGGAAGCAGAGAAAAAGAGAATTGACACATTTAGTCAAGTTTTATAGAGTAAATGCAGTTTATGAATAATGTTAATGTTTATAGTATCTTTAAGAAATGGTAGTTGTCTTGAAGATCTGTTGTTAAAACAAAGGCTGAAAAAGTCAGTATCTGTAGGATGACATTGGTTTGTCCTTCTGCCTTGCCACAGGGAGCTTAGGTGTATTGGGTTACTCTCATCATAGTGCTCCCATTCCTCTGTGTTTGTCTGAAAACTCTTTCTGTGTGCTCTGCTTTCCCAAACAGTCAATCGCCTTTATCTTCTAATCAGACTTTGTTAACTTGCAAATACTGCTTTTCTCTTCTCCTTAAGTCCTTTGCATAGTTAATTCAGAGCAATGTCCTTTTTGTATAGACAATTATTGCTCTGCTTTTGTAACTTGGGAGATAATTGACTCAGAATAATATTCACTGCTGGGCATCTGTCCTCTGGACTTAAGTCTTTGTTGCACTTACTTCCTAGTATCCCAAAAGCAGGGTCCAAAGTGCGATAACACTTAACTATAAGTTTAGAGCATGGTCATTGACAAATTCTTAAGTATTATGGCACTTTGGCTTGGCACATTTAAACATCGGGGTAGCTCACAGCTTGCCCTGTGTCCATCCAGTCCCTAGTTTGGACCCTGCTTTTCGGGTGCTAGGCTTAAGAGCTAATGGACCACACCAAAGGCAAATGATCAAATAGATACCCTAAAAGGCCCTCAACAAACCTGTCTACTCACATTCTCAGTAGCATTCTTGCCACTTCAGTGATCCAGTCTTCCTATAAAAATCACAAAAATAAACCATACTTAACGTAGCCCCATACTAAGTTAAGTATGGGAGTTTTTTTTCCTTTTCTTTTTTTCCTTTCCAGTAAACCTTTCTTTGTCTTTCCAGCTCTGAGTCTGAGCACCTATATTATCCAATATCTTCATTCTTAAAAATGTGCACGAATATCAGAGCTGTGGACCAACACAGACACCTGTTCCTGTAGCAAGAAACACTACGTAACACAAACTAGGACTATGCAGTGCAGTGAACTGCAGAAGAAGCAGAAGGGGCTCTACAAGAGAGCAGTGGGCAAGTTTCATGACTTGTATGCAGCCAACTGGAATCTGATTGCAAGCCACCTGTAAGGTCCTCTGAGTCATGTCTGGAGTAACTCCTCAGCACAAAGCCAGGAATAAACTCAGAGCACAGCTAGATATGCCACACAGAAAAACAAACAAACAAAGTGGAAGACATAACTAGTCCTTATCATTGAAGTAGTTATAGTCAAGAAGTAGTAAAGTAAAGGTAAAGTAAAGGCCCTCCCGTTGATCATCAATTTGCTCA